AGTTGTACAGCTTTGATAAGAAAAGGAGAAAGGCAAATAGAATAAAGGACTGAAAAAGACCTTTGTATTACTAAAACTGAGAAGCCTGCAGTGCCATGGTTACAAAATGCTGGAGTTGATGGAAAAAGCTCAGCCTCAGAAGAGTGTTCTCAGGAACTGGTCTTCATATATAGGATGTGACTCGTGCATTGCTCAGTGTTGCAGCAGGCAGGGTGGTAGTCAATGGGTAGGAGAGGTGATGTTGGGTAAGAAAGCAAAGTGAGCATTGCACAGTGTGAAACTAAGGCAGAAAGGAACTATGGACAAACCCAGCCTGTGCAAAGGGAGAGGAATTTCAACAAAGTTTGGTGATGGGCTTCAGTCATTTTAATGCTATGAGTTTCAAGGTGGGCTTCAGAGAAGGTGGGCTGTACCTGGGTCATGATTGTGGCAGAAAGCCTAGACGCCTCGTCCAGCAAGTGCAGCAATTTTTGGAAGTCCTCATCTTGGTAGTCAAACCAATCGCCAAACAGCCTGTGCAAAGGGAGAGGAATTTCAACAAAGTTTGGTGATGGGCTTCAGTCATTTTAATGCTATGAGTTTCAAGGTGGGCTTCAGAGAAGGTGGGCTGTACCTGGGTCATGATTGTGGCAGAAAGCCTAGACGCCTCGTCCAGCAAGTGCAGCAATTTTTGGAAGTCCTCATCTTGGTAGTCAAACCAATCGCCAAAGGTGACAGAGCAGATGACGTTTGAAACAGCATTGCTGATGTTCAGCTGAGGGTTGAAAGGATTCCCTGGAGAAGGAAAAAAAGAATGATCAGTTTTCTTCCAGTATTTATGGAAATGGAGAAGAAAACACAGTAGACAGAGGGAATATATTCAACAAATCCAGGTGAAATGAGTGGCCCCTGATGGTCACCCTGCAGTGTCACTGCTGAGAGCCAAGCTTGGCCAGGCAGCCCCAGTGATCCCCATTCAGTCAGACCAGGAAAATGTTCACATTGGAAAAACAGGTCTGTAGAACAGCAGATGTCATTTAAATTCAACTGAATCAATAGTGTAACTGTAAAAGGGAGAGCTGAAAAGACTGAGGTGCTGGCAGGGTGCTTGCATCACGTGCAAGGTGAGGTATCTTCCAGCATGCACTGAATCATGGGTGAAATTATGATGGGCCATACTGGTTCCTGCCTACAGCACAGCTTCAGAGGGTGGTGGCACTCACCCTGCTCATCCCCAAACACCTCCACGAGGCATCGGCACTCCTCCTGGATGCGTTCCTCCAGGCTCCTCTTCCCCAGGCCAAAGTTTCGGAGGGTGGTCAAGGTGACCCTCCTCTGTTGCTTCCACAAGTGCCCGTTGGAGAAGAACAGACCTGTCAGAAATACCCCACCATGAGCCAAGGCAGATCCCTCCACAGAAGGGACAGAGCTCCAGGGCTTATCCCCAGCTGTCTCAGAGCTCAGCAGGGTCAACACATTGATTTTACAGGTGAGAAATGAGTCCTGAGAGAAAACTCACCCATATTGCCGAAAATCTCCTTGCTGACAGCAATTTCAGGGCGATCCATGAAGTTTTCCCCTTGGTTTACAAGAACTTCCTTGACCATACGCAGCCCATTTATGGACAGAAGTGATAAACTGCCAATCTCTAAGCTGAAGATGTCCCCGTATTTTTCAGTCAGCTGGGACAGAAGGAAATAAATAACAGGGATTTCATTTGCCATGAAGGTGTTTGCTGGGACAGGGAGAGGCCTGTCAGGGACATGGGTGATAAGAGGGAAGCTGGGAGCAGGAGGGCAGCCGGGGTGTTTGCACCAGTGTCTGCTTGGCAGCATGGCATGGTTCAACCCCAGGTGGCAACTAAGCACCAGGCAGCTGCTTGCTCACTGCTCCCACTCCACCCCAGTGGCCAACTCCTCCACATTTGTGTTCTGAGCATGATGGTTTATGGTAAACATCCCTTTGGCTGGCTGAGGTCAGCTGTACTGGCCATGCTCCCTCCCAGGTCTTGAACACCTCCTTGACTGCCGAGCATGTGAAATTGAAAAGTCCTTCACTCAGGCTATGCACCAATCAGCAACAACTACAGCATTAGCACATTATCAAAACTATTACTCTATTAAATCCCAAATACAGCACTCTACATGCTATTGGAAGAAAATCTGTCCCAGCTGCAGCTAGGATACTGTGTATGGTCTCTTCTCTTTCCTCTTCCCTGAACTACTGATTAGGAGTTGGAACAGGTTTTGCCAGCTTTTGTTTCACCCCCTTCCCCAAAACCATTCCAGAGCCTGGTCAGACCTACGGGACTCCTAGAGCTGTGACTGCACCCCTGGTATAAAATACTGCACTGCACACGCTACTAGGAAGAATTAGGTGCTTTTATCTACTGTCCCAGCTGAAACCAGGACACTTCGTACAGTCTCTTCTTGTACCTCTTCCTGAACCACTGATTAGGAGTTGGTGTGAATAAGCCATCAATCAAGTCAAACTGTCCAGGTATGACTTTTCAGTACTATGTTTCAGCTTTTGTTTTACTCCCTTCCACAAAACACCTCCAGACCCCGGTCAGACCTACGGGACTCCTGCGGCTGTGACTGCACCCCTGGTGTCTATCACATTGTGCCCTTTGCCCAAAGGATTGCTTCACACTTATGAACCTCCTTGAACACGGGCAAACTTCACCCACATTGCTGCCAGCCAAGGGCAAACCTCCTGTCTGCCCTGGGCTGAGATCCTCCGAGTCCTTTTGGGCCATGGGCTTTGGGTTAACCCCTTCCCCAC